GTGAAAGACGTTACTTTTGTAGACGTAATTCATCTGTTCTCGGGACTAGTTGTAAAGTGCACGCACGTACAATACAAGAATCCGAGCTGCATGCACACACTACTCCTGTGCAATTTCCAGTGAAGGTATGGTGCTCGCCTCCTACACGGAGGCCTTGACTGGTACCCGGCTTTCACCCGCCTGTCGTCAAGCCGATATTAAAAAACGCAGTTCCGTATCAGTCAAATCGGGGGCTTCAAACTGACCAATTAATCCCCTATTCTTTACCCCTAAAATGTTCATATTTTGTTCTGCTTTAAATTTCGGTTTATAAACATAAATTTGTGACACAGCCTGCTATTTTATAAGAATAACCTCGGTTAGCGTGGAAGGCTTTGTATATGCAGGGTTCTTGAAGTTGTAAGGGAAGAAGTTCATCAACAATCTCTCTATGAAGTATTAAACATGTTTAATTTGTTCATAGAGTTTTATTGGTTAGATGTATAAATAAACAATATTGTAGAGATCTGTTTTTTTATCAAAATGAAACAGTAACTTATCTTGATAATTGAGGAATAGAAAGAGGATTATATTGTGGGCATGATGATTGTGATGAACAGGCAAGAGCGACGCTATACTGATCGGGAACACAGTATGAAGAGGCAGTACTGGCGCGTGCATGTGCGGTAAGGAGCAATCATGTACAAATCAGGCTTTTGATCAGCCTTTCCTTTTTTATTCTTAAACTATACATACAATAAACAGACTGAATTGGTAATTGGCAGTGACGAGTTTGATTTTAGAGCAATGGAGAGATAGACTATGTCAAAAGTTTTAAACCTCAAAGTAGGTGATTTTTTGTTTTTAAATTCAGGCCAAAGAGATCATGATTGTTAATCACTGTTTTTGACTCTCATTATCAGTCTAGTCTATTAAAAACATTTATCTAACTAGCGCTTTCTGTAAAAGTTCTCCATCTCTAACAAAAAATGTATTTGGTATAACTTTTAAAATGGTACAAATCAACAGATATTAGTAAATTGCTAGCAACAGAAATGTGCCAAAGCCTTGCTGGATAATACCCTTTCCACTCGACACGGAACTGCCGGATCCCTTAACTACTGTTGAATTTTGTGGACACCTTTTGTCTGTCTATTACAGTCCACCTGTTAACACATAATACATGCTCAAAAATGGCCAGGATTTGTATAAATCATGAATTTTAACTTTCCCGTACTAGCCATAGTAGACTCAGCTTGCGTGCAGGTATTATACTAGGCCAATTTTCCCCAACGCACGCCACAGCCTCGCTTCCGGCCCAATGTTGTGTGTACTCGGCATGGAGATCAATGGTGAGAACCATGTTGTGCGGTCCGTGCTTTATGTGAGCATTTTCGAAACCAGTAGATTTGGTTAGAATATTGACAAGAATATGATATAAATCAGTACTCTGAAATAATGATTGCCGAGCTTTCGGTAACTGAGTACCTTCTTCAGGGCAAGCAGATTCAGTTCTGAATGGATTCGGTTAGACTTAAGTTTCACTGGTTCCAGTCAGAACATGTAGTTTTGATGTGCGTGTACACAGCTCAGAAGCTGGTACGCCGAATAGTTGCGCACGCACACTTTACGAACTTCACCGGAGAACGGCTGAAAACAGTCCACAACAATGGCAAGACCGGGACGCCGATAGAGCTGCCGTAAAAATCGAGATTCTCAGCCCGCTTTTCAGCTATTATTCTCGGCCCATTCTCGAGCGAACACTGTGGAAGAAGGCAGACCCTGGCTCTTGTATATATGGTAATTGGTCTTTGTTCGGAGCCCAGAAATGAAAAGACTGATTTTGCATCATAATCACCAGCTTCACAATTGTCCCCACTTTGAAAAGAGGCAACGGGAACATGGAAGGGTGAGCAGAGCCGCATGCCACCAAACAATCAGCCTTTTCACCATGTAATTTGAAGCATGCAGAGCATGCAGGGCCAAAAACGGAGAATTTGCGGTTTGGCAGGTGGCCTTCGTGGCCAAGTGAGGCTGGAATTCTTGGAGTCGGCTTTCGGGAAGAAATTTCTGTCGTCAAGGGGTTAACGTTATGTCCGACTTTTCCCATTTTTGCTTTTGATAGTGATGTGTTGAATTTCTTAACCCACCAAACGTGGAGATAAGGAAGCATAGGAGTTACAGACGTGATACTGGCTCCTTGGAAAAGGTAGAAATGTTGCAAATTTTACTTACTAAATTTTTCCTCCGATTTTGCACCCTTTATATCCTGGACTCCCTCCGTAACATAGTACAGTCAGGGAGTCCACCTGAGCTAGGCCTACCCCTGGAACTGTGGGGCGGACATCGGATCCTACAGTTCTGGGAGTTACTAGCCTTATACGTAGCTGTAGTGTAGTGGCTCTGTTTACCATATGTCTCTTGAGGTGGCGACAGAAAAGAGACAGATTGTAAAAGCGAGCCACCACAGCCCTACGTGCATGACGTGTGGGGCTACTAGGCCTACTACTAGCCCCACTAGTGTGGCACAGACTTTCACTCCCGCTCCATCCTTACTGACCTTAGCCACACATCCGTATACGCAATTTCATGTCAGCGTACTGAAAATTTTCGGGGTACCCACTTATCATCTTGGGCAAAATTTCTTTTGCACACCGATATGATCCTTGACCTTTCCACTTTCTAAAAGCCATTTATGGAATGATTTCACTCACGTTATGCAGGTATTTTCCAGACTTTTTGCCTTTAATCCATTCATCTAACGGGCTCGCTCTCACAGTCGCCATCTTTAAAATAGGGTCTTTGAACATTACGTCACTTGACCCCTAATCTTCTCGACAGCTGTTCCATGTCAAGACCGACTGAGCGATAATATACTACATGTACCAATGGCAGGCCTTGAATTTCACGACGGCCATGACCGTCAGTGCCCTCCCATTTGGCCGTGGTGCCTCCCAAAAGCCAAGATGGCAGTGCCCTTTTTTTCTCTTGGTCGTAGTGCCCTACACATGCATACCGACTGACCCTGTTCAGCAAGGCACACAGAAACAGCATACACATCGCTCCTTGATTGCTTACATTTGACTGGAACACCGTGCACACCGCACATGTATTCACTTGCACAAATCACCCCATAATTCTTTGCGCGCTGTCACAGTGATGAAAACACGTGCGCAAAACTCTGTGCATTAAACGAATCTGCTCTGGTTCCTGCCGCACCCATGCAAAAGAATGCATAATGCAAATGTAGCAACCAGTACCAGTCTGTACAGTACATGTACTGCATGTACTGTACATAAACACTCTTCATCGGCCGTACGCGTTGCGAATGCAAAAGGCCAGCTGCAGGCCGCAAAGACATTAATGTTATGTTGCAGAATGGTTGCAGGAGGTTTTCTACAAGTCAATTCACAGAATTGGTCTCTTATTTATGTCTATATTTTCTTCGTTCATGAGAAATTTGAGGTCGTTCTGCTCATTTTAGCGTCCACTGGTCAAGTGAATCACGCCCGCTTACCACGCGATAGCCTTCACCATTACCAGATTACTGCATTAGGACCTAAATGGACATTGTTGGCCGGTTTACCAATGTGATTGCCGTCGTGATTGTGTGAATTTTTCACAATTTTCTTGTGTATTGCTGTATGTAGAAATTTTTACATAAAGACAAAGTTCATCACTTTTTGAGATACATTTGGAATCTTTCCTCCCCGCTGATGCCATTCAATCAGCACAAAATTACCCCCAAACAAAACAAAGTTCTGACCTACTGACCTAATTTTTGAGAGGCACATTGCATGCACAGCACAACTACATGTAGGCCTATCACATGTACATATGTGTTTTTAGCCTAATAAAATACTGCAAGTATGCAGTAGGCCTTAGTTAAATCATGGAGGTAGGAGAAGAAGCAAATTTATGCCATGGCCTGCCCGAATGGGCAAACTAAAAAAAACAAAAAAAAAATTGTCATGGCCTGCTCCCTAACAAGGATACATGTACATGTATACAGTAACAGGTCAGTTGAGTTGGGCTTGAAATTTTTAGTGATGTGTGAAAGATCACTGAAGCACACATATGATGTGATATTCTATCGTCAATAAATAACTATAAAAATAAGGGACCAAGTCTGTCAGGTGTCATAAGTTAAAGTGTGTTGATGTTTGACAGGATCTTTTGATAACATTTGATTGAAACAACATGTGTGGTTTATGCACTTGTTATTTGCATCTTGCTACCCGTACACCATGCACCAATCTGATGAACATACATACACCATAGATGCACGATAGCACCCCAATACAAAAGGGCTGTTTGGCACCAGTTCGACATCAATTTTTGACAAATAAACAACTTCCTTTTCTTCCTGAAATTCCAAGCTTCCAAATAAACACCATTTCATATATGTTTCATCAACTCCTTACACATGTTTTGGGGGATTTTCAACAGAAAATTGCACATTTTTTGTTACCCTCTTGTAGTCTTCACAAGCCAAAACAAGTCTTGACGGTGCTTTGGTCAGATGCCTGGAGTCGTACATCAAATGAAAGAGTATTATAAGCTCTACAAGATAATGACATCATTGTTCTAAACCTGGTTGAGACTCACAAGGTATTAGGCTTAGACGAGACTACGTCACACGACAACAAAGATGGCCACACACAGTCATAACAGTTGTTGACGTACAGTAAGCGGCTCCAATCCAGATTCTTATATTATTTTCATACTTTACACCCAAAACTCGACCTAAACAGGCATAATAAATGGTACTAACACTAATTTCAGTTTTTTCACAACACAAATGTTTTTCAAAATCTAAATTTGATGCACAAAAAGGGCAGAAATCACTGATTGAAAACAAACACATTTACACGCTTTCAGATATACAATTTAAAGGTGCCATTTCGCTGGACTCCCTAGCCTAGTACTAGTACTAGTAGTACTAGCCGTGGGTAACTGGCAGTGGCACTGCTTTGTCATTTTCTTTCAATGAGTTTACGAACAACATGTAATATACCTACCCTTTTAACTTAAGACTGTAACGACGCTGACTTTTTCGATGTGTGTTACTGGAAACTTACGGTTCTGTACAAATAATCATAGGACATGTCATGGAGGATGGGACACACGAAGAGACTTTTATGGCAATGTATTGAATTTGTAATTTGTGGCCTATTGTACTAATGCGTGTCGCGCCAGTCCGCAGTACTAGTGCTAGTGCAGTGCAACCCCAACTCGCGCAAGCGCAAGCCGAGCCGCGCTGGGAACCAACATGGCCATATAATGCTAGCCACAAAAGAGATGGCCGAATCCATATCCACACGGTCTTCCTTGGCCGTTTTCCAATACTCAACTTCGTCTCCGTCTCAGGTTCGTTCCCAAAACCAATCCCCGATTGTGGGCCTGAAGCGTTTAAATTACATCTGATTACTGTAATTTTTTGGCTTTCTTGCATCTTATTTAATGTTCTGTGCCACTAGTAGACTGATTATGGTGCCTACAGCTTCAACGTCAGCTGGTAAAAAAAAAAAACCAGTTGACCTGAGACGGAGCCGAAAGTTGGAAAACGGCCCGAGGCCGTTTTCCAATACTCAATTCTGGCTCCGTCTCAGGTTCACCTGTTTTAGCTAACTGACTTTGAAGCTGTAAGCGCAGTAATTAGTCTAATAGTGTCACAGAACATCAAATAAAATGCAAGAAAGCCAGAAATTACATCAATCTAATTTAATGTAAACGCTTCAAGCCCACAATCGGGGATTGGTTTTGGGAACGAAGCCTCAGTGGCGCTCAAGTCGAGTATTGAAAAAGGGCCCTAGTTGCACCGCTGCTATACTCTGCTGCAGAACTGAGCATGCGCATTAACGAGCAGAAGTTCACAGGTACGCTGAGAAAGCATCACGTATCTACGTACGCTTAGAACAGAACAGAACACCCGCGAAACTTTATTGCACGATTTCCTCTGACTTGTCTCACGCACGTGTTGCACTGTGTAGCACTGGGTTTGTGCACGAGTCAATGGTGTAGCACTTTTTTGCTACACGCTGCGGCCCCTTCCTTTTTTATTTTCCCGTGTAGCACTGTGTAGCACCGGGTTTGTGCACAAGTCAATGGTGTAGCACTTTTTTGCTACACGCCGCGGGTTTAAACATGGCGCGGAAAGATTGTACATGGGTGCAGTTAGTCTTGGTTTCAAGACGTTAGTGCTTGATAGCGGACACCGTGCATAGTGCGCCCGCTAACGACTCATAATTAGACTGTGCGCCAGTGAGAGTAAGTAAAACCTAGGGGTGCAGACCACTAATTCAAGTGAGGAATTCTGACCAGCTCATTAGCATTAAAAGTGCCTCCCCCACAGTATCCTCTGAAAAAGGAGATTGTTTGGCCCCCAAAATGGCGTGATTGTGTAAATCGTTGCCAGGATCAACTCCCTGGGTCTTTGAGCTTTCATATGAGAGCAAAAGGGCTAAAAACTATGGTTGAAAAATGGTCCTAAGTGCCCGAGAAAGTTGAGGGTTGCCACTTGAAAAATGGCTGCAATCAGACCTCAGAAAAC